GGCTGAGGCTGAGGCTGAGGCTGTGGCTGAGGCTGAGGCAAGCTGCGGCTGAGGCTGATGCAGGCCCAGGCCGAGGCAGGCTGGGGCAGAGGCTGAGGCAGGCTGAGGCTGAGGCTGAGGCTGAGGCCGAGGCAGGCTGAGGCTGAGGCCGAGGCAAGCCGAGGCAGGCTGAGGCTGAGGCTGAGGCTGAGGCAGGCTGAGGCTGAGGCTGAGGCTGTGGCTGAGGCTAAGGCAAGCTGCGGCTGAGGCAGGCTGAGGCTGAGGCTGAGGCAGGCTGAGGCTGATGCTGAGGCAGGCTGAGGCTGAGTCCGAGGCAGGCTGAGGCTGAGGCCGAGGCAAGCCAAGGCAGGCTGAGGCTGCGACTGCGAGAACAGCAGAATTCTACAACTGGATTCTCACCTGAATCTTGTGGGGAACGCTTCCATATATGCTTATACACATCGCTGTTAGGTTGCTTTGCCGGGATACTCACCTTAAACATCCTCGCAAGTCTGTGTGACCAGAGATGCCCTGCCACATGCTGGTCTGGCCAATTTCGCCTGAGACATCCTCGCACCTCTGGTTTCCGAGATGCCCTGCGCTGAGGTGGTCAGGCCACTTTCGCCAGAGACATCCTCGCAACTCTGGGTTCTGAGAAGTCCATGTCGCCTGCGACATCCCCGCAACTCTGACCTCGGAGATGCCCTGCCCCATGATGGTCCAGTCACTTTTGCCTGAGACATCCTCGCAACGGTTCTGAGATGCCCTGAGGAGGTGGGCAGGTCATTTTCGCCAGAGACGTCCTCGCAGCTCTGGCATCGGATATGCTCTGAGCTGAGGTGGTCAGGCCACTGTCGCCTGAGACATCCCAACAACTCGGACCTCGGTGATGCCCTTGCCCATGATGGTCTGGCCACCTTCGCCCGGGACATCCTCGCACCTCTGGGTTCCGAGATGCCTTGCGCTGAGGTGGTCAGGCCATTGTCGCCTGAGACAACTCCGCAACTCTGGCCTCGGAGATGCCCTGAGCTAAGGTTGTCCATCCACTTTCGCCTGCGGCATCCCCGCAACTCTGACCTCCGAGATGCCCTGCCCTATGGCGGTCCAGCCACTTTCGCCTGAGACATCCTCACAACTCTGGGTTTCGAGATGCCTTGCGCTCAGGTGGTCAGGCCCTTTTCGCCTGAGACATCCTCGCGTGATCTACATTACCGGAGCGCTGACCCCATCCTTGTGTTGGGTTGGTGTTATATCATGCCGCACGCCTTAAGAGGTTACGGTGTTTCAGTTTGAATGCCAGCCGCATTAGCTTCCTTCCTTCCCCTCGCGTCTCCCCTCATTCCTCTTGCCTGCTTATCTGTCCCTCCCTCCTCCTCCGATTTTTCGACTCTGCGGCATGTGCGCGCATGTGCGTTTCATGTTTTCGGAGTTTTGCCAGACTGCGCATCCGACTGTGCATCGGACTGTGCGGCATGTGCGCGCATGTGCGGCAGTGCTGTTGATGCCTTTGTAGAGTTGCAGGGGCATGTAATATGTGCATTCAACTGTGCGGCATGTGCCTGCATGTGCGGCCCCTTCTGGATTTCAATCTGAATGTGAGCACTGTAGAAGTGAGCGCTAGAGAGATGAGTCCGGTGTAGTTGTGTTCAGTGAGCGTTTCGGCCAGAACAATGACACCAGCGTCGCACAGCTTGCGTTTGACTTCAGCCACATCAGTACCACCATCGTGATGGTTTACCGACCATTTCACGTCTGGATCGCACGCGTATATCGGCAGCACAAGCGTAGCGTTGGATTGGTCTTCGCAGACTGGCTAAGCGTTTCAACAGTTGTTCACTACGCGCACAACTCCTCGTTCACGAATTCTGTATATAGGCGCTACGTCGCTCATTTTTCTGATGTCTAGGTGCATATGATGGGCCCTCATATGTTGACCGATATTGCCTGCGATGACTTCACTGCTACGAACACGTGCGCGGCGTCTAGGAAGGCCGCAGTGATGAAGCTAGACTGAATGCCTCAGTTTTCTGCAGCTGAAAACGCTGGGAACCATATCGTTGAGTTGCACCGAGCGGCGTACGGTATCTTGGTATCTTTAAATTTTCCCGCATCGGGTTTGATGCCAAGGCCAGGATTTGCTTCGGCAGTCCCCTTCTCAGCTTGTCGGCCAACATCTCCATCTACTATGCATGCATATAACGGCGCACCGGGGCCCCGGCCCCTGGGGCCGCGACATCTACCACAAATGGAGGTGTGCAGGCCCTTGGGGGCTCCCCGAGGCCCCCAAAACGCCACCAGAAAACGCCAGTGGAGCCCGAAGACGCTCCAATAGGGACCCGAGACGCCCAAAGGCCGCTCCAAGACGCCCAAGATGACCCCCAGACTGCGTAAGAAGCTCCCAAGACACCCCAAGAGGCCCCCGAGAGGCCAACAAAGAGAGCCCCGGGCCACGAGGGGCAAACATAGCCCCACTCCCTTAGTACAACGTGCATTTGTTGCATATTGTTTGTTTTCGCTGCCGCAGTGTCCTTGACGAGCTCAGAGGCCCCTAAGACGGCCCAGGAGGCGCCCCAGAGGGCCCCAAGGCGGCCCAGGTGGGCCCCAAGACGGTCCAAGAAGCGCCCCAGACTGCCCAAACGGGCCCCCAAAGGGGCCCAAGAGGAGCCTGCAGCCCCCTGCCCCCGCCACTCGGCCCCTTCCTGGTCTCGGCCTGAGTTGCGGCAGTAGGCCTGCTCGCGCTAGGTAATTTAGGACCTCGCGCGGCCCGCTCGGACCTTACACGCCGTCGGCGCGCTCGCCTGCGGCTGGCTACAAAGAAGTACCCCCCACTAGCCCATCCAGAAACGATGCCCAGAGGAATTGCCTCGATCAGGTAAGTGGGCAGCACCCAGAGGAAGGGTCCCCCAGTGGAGGCCTCTTCGAGCGTCTTGGGTGCCTCGGAGAGCTTTTTGGGGCCTTTCGGTGGTCTCTTGGGAGCATCTTGGAGGCCTCTTGGGCGCCTGTTAGGGCCTCCTCTGCGCCTCGTGGGGCCCTCTTGAAGCGCTCTTGTGGGCCTTAAGAGCGCTCTCGGGGCCATCTTGGAGGACATCGATCAATCAAGAAGCAAGCATTAGTTCGCGTTGCCTCTCGGGAGCCCAAAACATCGCCTCTTGGGGCGCTCTTGGGGCGCTCTCGGGGCCGTCCTGGGGCTCGCTTGAGCCTCTCTTGGGGCCCTTTTGGGCCATCTTGGAGCCATCTTGAGGCCTCGGATGGCCATCGGAAGCGAAACGGCGAGAACGTCAAACACATATTTTGTCCTACGATGTTGGCCTCTTCGGGACCTCCTGGGGGAGCCCTTCGGCTACTTGGAGCCGTCTTGGAGCGGTCTTGTGGCATCTTGGAACATTGTGGGGGCCATGCTGAGACATCTTGGGATATCGTGAGCCATCTTGGAGGTCATCTTGGGCTCTCCCAGGCGCTCTTGGAGCCATTTTAACCCGCCCCCCCCCCAAGAGGCCAACATGTGGTTAAAACCTTGGTACAACCAATGGTTTGATATTCTCGCCGAGGCCTCTTGGAGCATCTTGGGTGCCTCTGGGGGGTCTCTTGGGGCCTCTTGGGGGTCTCTTGGGAGCCTCTTGGGGGCATCCTGGGGGCTTTTTGGGGCTTCCTGGCCACCTCTTGGGCACCTCTTTGGGCCCTCTTGGGGCACCCTTGGGAGCCTTGGTGGCCATCTTTGGGCCATCTTGGGCGAGATCGCTCACAGGAGGGGGGGTCCCTAATTTGGGTCCCCCCCTCAGGAGGCCAACGTGGGGCCAACATTTTTTTTGTAAAACCACTGATGTTGGCTCCCCCGCCGAGGCCGTTTCGGACGCCCCAGCGCGTCGCGAAGTGTCCCGTCCAGGTCCAGGAGAGGGGTGGGGGGAGGCGTCGAGACACCCACCCGCCCGCAAGCCGTTTAGCTCACTCCCACCCGCCCTCCCTACACACAAGTAGCACCCGAGCCTGAGCATGTTCAGCGGCCGTTTTTGAAAGCCGATCCCGGGTGCGCGACGTTGGGCGAGGTGCGCCACGCGTGCCAGGGGCGCCGCGCGCGCCAGGCACTCATGGGGCCCGAGCGTGCCAGGCATGCCTGGTGCGCCAGATGCGCCACGTGCTTTGAGTGCGCCAGGTGTGCCGCACACTCCCAGCCGCGCCAGGTGCGCCACGTTCGGGGCACGTGCAGAGTGCGTCAGGTGCGCCTGCGCACGTGACAGCACACATCGGGAAACATGTCGGCCCCCGCCATCCTTGTCGAACACCGCTGCCCATCACCATGCCTGGTGGGCATGCGCACAGCAGGCCACGCGCCACCACCCCCGCAGTCCCTGCCAAAAACCACTTGACAGTGATCGCGGGATGGCCGCGCATGGTCCAGATTTAGCATCGAGGTGCATGTTGTATTTTTTGTCAGGGCTGGTAGCCCTGCGCACAGAAGGAGATATGCCGGCACCCCCGCCGTCCTTGCAAGAGACAATACAAAGTGCTCGCGGCCTCGCGACTATGACTCAAGACTTTGCCCCAAATTGTAGTGGGGAGGGGACGCATCGGGTTGGCCGCGCATGCTTCAAATGTGGAGACAGAGTGCGGTTGTATTGTTTTTGACAGGGATGGTGGGGAGCGGGCCCGCATGGAGTCGGCATGGCTCCGGGTTGGCCGCGGGTCGGGTGGGGGAGGGGGCGTATACTAATCCGGAACAGTGATATACCTCTACCCTGAGCAGGGGAAGGAGGGCATGTGGAGAGAGAGAGAGAGAGAGAGAGAGAGAGAGAGAAAGAGAGAGAGAGAGAGAGAGAGAGAGAGAGAGAGAGAAAGAGAGAGAGAGAGAGAGAAAAGACAAAGTTCGTTAAACCACCTACGCCCTGAGGGCTTGTGGGATTTTGGGATAGCTCGGCACGCATGCGCACGCGCGCAACGCCACTGTCCGTTCTCCGTGGCCTCTCTCCTTCTCCTCCTCATTATCCTCGTCTTCCGTGGCCATTTAAGCTCAAGCCGCGTGGGCCCAAGGGCCCTGAAGCTTGTGGCGCGAGACGCCCGCCGTGCTCGCCCAATGTTCGGGGGTGGACAGAACCCCCACCAGTGACACGTCGATTCGTGAATTGTCCGTTTTCGGTTTTCGTGAGGGCGCCGTGGCCGTTATTTTCGAGGCTTGCGCCCGCCAGGTTTGGGCCCGAAGTCGTTTTCACTAAACCACGTTTTACTAAAGGGAGGCCTGTCCATCCCCGAAATGTCATCGGCACCCAGCGTCTTCAGCGCCATCGGTAATACGCCTCGACGCATGCGCCAGTCAATGACATCGGCGCTTGCATCGGTGTCATCGGTGCTCCGCCAGGAGCCAGAGGCCACTCAGAAGCCGGACGCTGCCGAGCCCGCGGGCAGTACCACTGGACGCAAGCGCCGAAAGCGTCGCAGCCCCGAAGGCGATGCACCCGGGGCGTCGGAGAGCTTTGAAGGCAGGGCGATGACAGCCCCGGAGCCGACAGACCCGCAGCCGCTCAAGGGCGAGAACGAGAAGCCCCGCAGGCGCCGCCGGAGGGAAGCAGGCGAGCAAGCCAGCGCGGAGCCAGGCGCTGCCGAGGAGGCGGAACGCCAGGTGGAGCGCCAGCGCGACCGCTCGGGAGCCAGTGCTGCCGCTCGGGAGCCACGCGCAGACAAGCCCCAGGTGGAACTCCAGGTGCTCAGCGCCCCGAGCCTCGAGGACGACGCGCTCGAGCAGCCGAGGGAGGGCGCCGTGCGCCAGGCGGCGGACCGCTTCTCGGGGGAGGCAGGTAGCGCGGCCACGCGGAAGCCAAGCGCTGACGAGGGGGAGGAGTTGGACGTGGAGTCCCAGGTTCGGGCCGAACGAAAGGGGGGGATATGGAAAGGGGGGGTTGCGAAATCTGCTGCATGCAGCTGGTTTCAGTCTCACCGAGGGGCCTATTCCTCGATGCATGGCAGCCTCCGGCGTCGGGAGGCGCCAGGAAAATCAGCTACGTGAGCTGATTCTCAAGCCCCCCTTCTGCCATCCCCCCATTTCGCCCGGCCCGACAGGTGAAACCCCAGGAGGTGAAACCCGAGAAGGCCGATTGGACGGACGACTTGGATATGGCAGATACGTACGAGGTCAACACGTCGATTTGGGACAGCATGATGTTTTTCGGGTTCCCCGAGCTCGGATGGAACGTGTCCTTTACGCTGCTCTTCGGCTACGTCGTCAATCTCGTATCCCAGCTCGCGTTCTGCTTCGTGGTCTATACATACATGCTCAAACCGAACGTTAATTCGTCCACGCTCAGTAATTTGCTCAAGTTTCGGCTGAGCCTCGCGCACAACTCAGAGTTCGCGGACCCCATGACGAAGCAATCTTTGGCGAGGCAGGTTTGCAGCACAAATGAGAAGGTGCACTTCGCCGCTGGGCAGATAAGCGTCTTGTCGGACGTGCAGAAATTCTTAAGGGGCGGGCCCACGCTGATGATAATCGCAGAGATCCTCTTTCTCGTAGTCATCGTCAAGGAGATGGGCGCCATCGTGCATTTCTACCAAGCCGTCATGTCGCTAGATCGGGCGGATACCACTCAGGTTAATCTGACTGTACAAAGGGGTCCTTACTTGTCATCCATTACGGCTCGATTTGAAAATATCCATCGGATGCGTGTTCGCTTTACCTGGGCTCTCATCACCGTGCCCCGCGCGATCATTTGCGTACTGCTTGGTTTCACAGGCATCCTCTTCATCGGCAAGACCAGCAACATCGATGACCTTATCCTCAACTGCCTGGCGACAGTCTTCATTATCGAACTAGACGAGCTAGTCTACGACTGCTTGGCACCCAGGCGGCTCAAGACGCTGCTGAACAATATGGAGCCTTTGCCGTGCCACGCACGAGTGCTGGCCAGTGCTGTCCAAACGGATCGCATCAAGGATGTCATGCCAGTGCTGGCGCCGGTCTTGAAGGTGGTTTTCGTGTGCGTGTCACTCTTTGCCACCAACGAATTGGTGCTCAAGCGATTCTTCTGGCAGCTGGAGCAAGTCGATCACATCTTGTGCTCACAGGACAGTCTGCTCGATTTTGTGTACGCTCGGAACTCAGCCAACGGCATCATCTACGTGGCCAGGTCCCATGATGCCGACGCCTGGACGGCGGACGAAGTCACCGTGTTGGAGGTGTCGATGCTTGACATTGAGCCCAGTTTCGATTGGAATCCTAGCATCTTGGCCAAGCAGCAGGAGCTCCGCAACGGCGGCGTGGAGGACCCCCCCGCTATCGTTCTCGGCCACTCGGCGGCGCTTGTCCAAGACACAGCGTTCGACGCCAGCAGCTACGACGCCCTCGAGGAGCTCGGCGACAGCCCGCTGCAGCTGGCGGCAAACATCCTCGTGTGCCACGATCTTGGCTCCAAGTCGGAGAGGCCCAGCTACCGCGCAGCCCTGCGGCAGCTGATGGGCAACGCCAGCATCGTAACCTGCGCTGAGGTTCCTTGGGGGCATTGTGCCCGGCGCGAGATGACGCAGCTCAGGGCGCTGTGCCCCGTGCGCTGCAACTGCCACGTGCCCCCGACGTACGAGATCGAAGGCCAGAAGGCTCTCGCCGGCTACTTCCAGAGTCCGCGAGGCGGGTGCCCGAAGTCGTGCCGGGCACAGCTGATGACATCCAACGAGTTGCGCTTCGTCAGAGGGGCCGCACCTAACTCGACTGGAACGAGCAGCACTGATGGCAGCAGGTGCGCAGATGTTGAGCCAGATGCAATCATCTTTGGCGGCGATGGCAGCATGAAGAGTTCAAAGGAGTGCCTTGTCAACGGGACCGTCGCCGCCGAATGTGGCGGTTTGCCCCCAGACGCGTTCTGGTGGCTCTCGTTTGCAGCGGGCTTGTTCGAGCACCTCACGGCCGACGTGGCATTTCCAGACGTTGTCGAGGCCTCCGTGCAACTGGTGTTCCCGGACCTTAAAGACAGCAAGAGGCGTGAGCTTGCCAGGTGGATCTCGAATGGGAGTTTGATTGAATCGTTCCTGGATGGCCACTGGGAGCTGATGCGCGACGTACCGCACCCGCGGAACCTGACTGGGTGCGACTACCTCGCATCTTACGAGGTCAGGGTGTTGTTAAACGCCGACCTCTGCAGCGCGAGCGAGTTTTCCTCGATCCAGTTCATGTGCCCGGTCTCGTGCGGGTGCTCTCTCGGCGAGATGTACAGGTCGTCTCCGTCGTCCGACGGCGTCCAGTTCATGCGTGTTGACGACATCTTCATGGTCAGTAACAGGATGGAGGACCTGGGCTTCTGCCCTGCCGCATGCCTGATGACGCACCCGAGTATCTCTGGAGATTCCAGCTACGATGCCATCGGCGGCCACAGCGACAGCGCGGACGGCGCGGACGACGAGGACTACGGCATGGACGATTACTTCAACCAATATTACTACCACTACGAGGAGAATGACGACTGCGCGAACCGCGGCTCTCAGTGGGCCACGGACGCCGCGGGGTACACTTGCAAGCACTGGGCTTTTTTTCATTGGGAGTGCACGGACTACTACGACGACGCCGACTTCTGTCTCTGATTTGTGCTGTTGGTGCGGTGGTGGAGATCGCTCTCTCTGAGTTTGCACTTTGTCTCAGATTGCTCTTTGCATTACGATGCGTCTTATAATATTACGCTTAATCAATCAATAAGTTTCAAACCCTCTAGAATCGAGATGCAGACCAACCAAAGAGTTGTGTACCTATCTGATGGCGCTGTGCGAGTGCTTCTGGCCCGTATGCGTGGGCGATGATGGTGATGCTGATGCTGATGCTGATGCTGATGATGATGATGATGATGATGATGATGATGATGATGAGGATTATGACGATGATGATGTTGATGATGATCATGATGATGATGATGATGATGATGATGATGATGATGATGATGATGATGATGATGATGATGATGATGATGATGATGATGAGCACGACGGTTGGGTGTGAGGGCTCGGGTGTTGGGGTGACAGGGTGTTGGGGCGTCAGGGGGCTCCCACCCTTATAAGCCGCCCGTGAGCTTTATTTTAAGCTCCTTTGAACATGCTCTTCAAGAATCTGGCCCCCGAGCGGGAGAATCTTCTACGGCGCGTCTTTCTCGCTAGTGCAGGACCTCGTCGAGGGCACCCCTCGTCGAGGGCACCCCTCGTCGAGGACGCCCCTCGTCGACGTCCTTTTCTTCGTGCTCCTTACTGTCCTCTGTCGTCGTCGTCGCCGTCGCCGTCGTCGTCGTCCGCTTCATTCCTCGCGCGTGTGTCCTCCTCCGTTTTTTTCTCCTCCTCCTCCTCCTTTTCTTTTCTTTCTGCTTATCTAAAGGCTGCCGCCTCTGCCGCCGACCCCTATTGAGCGACGTATGTTTGAGTCGTTTGCTGTCGGGATGCGTTTCCGAGCACGGCAGGAAGGGCTCAGGTGAGACATCCAGGCCTGAGCCTCGCACCCTGGACTCCTGATTCTCTGTTGCACCTCTGTTGGTCGTGGGTATGAAGCCTATTTAATCCATTGTGACGGCAGCCCGGGTGGGCTATTCGATCCCAGCCGATCAGCCGATCAGCCGATCAGGCGTCTACCAGCCGATCAGCCGATCAGCCGATCAGCCGATCAGCCTTATCGGCTGATCGGCTGATCGGCTGATCGGCTGATCGGCTGGTAGGCGCCTGATCGGCTGATCGGCTGATCGGCTGATCGGCTGATCGGCTGGTCGGCGCCTGATCGGCTGATCGGCTGATCGGCTGATCGGCTGGTCGATCGCTGATCGGCTGATCGGCTGATCGGCTGGTCGACCGCTGATCGACTGATCGGCTGCCGTCCAGTTCCCCTTGAGACATCCTCGCAGCTCCGGGCTCAGAGGTCTCCTGACCCGAGGTGGTCGGGCCAGTCTCGCCTGCGACATCTTCCTGTCTTTGGGTTCGGAGATGCCCCGCACGAGGTGGTCCATCCAATTCCGTCTGAGACCTTCTCGCAAGTCCAGGCTCAGAGATCCCCTGACCTGAGGTGGTCGGGCCAGTGTCGCGTGAGACATCCTCGCAACTCCGCGCTCAGAGGTCCCCTGACCTGAGGTGGTCGGGCCAGTTCCGCCTAAGGCATCCTCGCCACTCCGGGCTCAGCGATCCCCTGACCTGAGGTGGTCGGGCCAGTCTCACGTGAGACATCCTCGCAACTCCGGGCTCAGAGATTCCCTGACCTGAGGTTGTCGGGCGCAACTACGACCACTACTGCTACTTCTGCTACTACTACTACTACTACCACTACTAATTCTACTACGACGGCTACTGCTATTGCTACTGCTACTGCTAGTGCCACTGCTACTGGTAGTGCTATTACTACTACTGCTACTAGTAGTAGTAGTAGTAGTAGTAGTACTACTACTACTACGACTACTACTACTACTACTACTACTGCTACTGCTACTACTACTACTACTACTACTATTACTACCACTACCACTGCTACTAGTACTACGGTTACTATTACTACTGGGACTACTACTGCTGCTGCTACTAGTACTAAGACTACTACTTCTACTATTACTACTAGTCCTATTACTGCTACTACCACGACTACTACCACTACTACTACTAAGACTACCACCACTACTACTGCTACTACTACTACTACTACTACTACTACTACTACTACTACTACTACTACTACTACTACTACTACTACTACTACTACTACTACTACTACTACTACTACTACTACTACTACTACTACTACTACTACTACTACTACTACTACTACTACTACTACTACTACCACTACTACACTACTACTACTACTACTACTACTACTACTACTACTACTACTACTACTACTACTACTACTACTACTACTACTACTACTACTACTACTACTACTACCCACTACCACTACCACTACCACTACCACCACCACCACCACCACCACCACCACCACCACCACCACCACCACCACCACACCACCACCACTACTACTACTACTACTACTACTACTACTACTACTACTACTACTACTACTACTACTACTACTACTACTACTACTACTACTACTACTACTACTACTACTACTACTACTACTACTACTACTACTACTACTACTAGTACTACTAGTACTACTACTACTACTATACGCCTGAAAAACACGACTGTCGGCATGCTTCGCTGGAGTTGCTGTTTGGGGATGGGCTGGTGGGGATACGCGAAGCGTGAAGAATTCGCATACTTTCGCGCACCTTGAGGGCTCTGGAATACGTGCGCATTCGCCGTCGCCGGCAGCGCCGCCGCCGTCGTCGTCCCTCTTCGGGGTCGGCGGCACCTGTCGTCAGCCCCCTCCTCCTCCTTCTCCTCCTCCTGCTCCTCCTCCTCCTGCTCCTCCTCCTCCCCCATCCCCTCCCCCGCCCCTCCCCGTTCCCTATTCTCCTCCTCATCCTCATCCTCCTCCGCATTCTTCCGCAACCTTACCCTCTCTCCCCCCTCCCCCCGCCCTTGCCCCCCGATCGTCCTCTTTCCCCCGCGCCCTTCTCCGTCGCCTCCGCCGTCCTCCGTTTCCTCCCCCTCCCCTTTGCTCCTCAGCCTGGCCCACCCCGCTAGAATGCGGCGTTTTCCGCTTCAGTCTTCTGGCACAAACTCTGGGCCCGATGGCCCGAGCCTGATAGAAGCATTGCAGAATGCCACCAACTCTGCATACGTCAGCGGCAACTCCGACACATAATCCGACACCGGCAAACCTTTTGCTGGAACATAAGTACCAAAATCGGAGTATCTTCTGGTATTCACATAATTCGTACAGGATGTCCAAGTTACTCCGGCTCTTGTAGAAATCGCCGTGGTGGTCCCGCAGCAACTCGATGATATACCGAAGCATTGGCAGATCCGCCGACCTGCGTGGAGGTGTCAGGCACGAGGAGCCGCCCCGCCGAAGACGCGGTGCGAACTATTTTGGGGGGAGAGGAGGACCAGAGGACCGCACCGCTCCCAGCGCGCCGTAGGTAGACAGGCGGCGGTATTGAATACGACAGCATTCCTCTCCGCCGCGCGCCGGTCGCTGCGGAGCTCGCTACCCCGCGCGCGCGCCGCGTGTCGGCAAGCGACCGAGCGCGAGCGAGGGCAAGGCGGCGACAGCGAAAGCCCCCTGCATAATGGATGCTCTTCTGCCTCGGCGGCGTCCCTTCGTGCAGCATGAAAGGGAGCCCGAAGAGATAATTTGCCGTCCTGCAAGGCCCAACTCCGATTACAGTGACCAATTTATACTGCTCTTGCACCCCGCTCAGGTCCCCGCCCAAGGCGTGGGACAGGCAATCCACGAAGTCGCACAATAATTCTTTGGCTCTGAACCCACTGCCGCTGTATCCCCGGACCGACTGGAGACCCTCGAAAAATTCTGGCACGTCCAAATCCTTGGCGAAAGCCGAGACAAGATCGACGCCGACGGCTTGGAACGCATGCAAGTCCGCCAGCAAATCGGCGAATCCATGCACGGGGCGCTCACCGCGGGTGCGCATGGGGTTCACATAATCACCGAATAAACCTTTGCAGCCAGTGGCGTGAGCGAAATCGTGGAGAACCCCGGGGTTCACCCAGCGGCCGTCTGCGACCTCCAGCCATACCCACGACTTTTCGGCGAGCGCCGCCCGCGCCGCATCGCCCAGCGTGTTCCGCATCAGCACCACGTTGAGGAGAAATTCCAGTAGCAAGTCCGTGGAGCCGAGACCGAGGGTGCCTGCGCGTCGGCGCAAGTGCTTCTCGTAATGCTCATACGCCTGCACGGTCGCCTTGGCATCGAGGCGGGACCGGGGATTCACGCGCACCAAGCAAGCCAGGTCAGAACACACCAATGACTTCTCCACCCCGCGCAATTGCATCATCGCGTCCCGCCGCTGCCCGAAATTCACCATGGTCTGAACCCGCTCCGCGAAGCAGCTCCTCTTGAACCATGCGTCGTGGCCTAAGCTCGTCGACAGCGACCCGGGACTGTGGGCCATGCGATCCTGCGGTGTGAAATTATTGGATGTGGCAGAGTGCTGGGCGGTGCTGTAGGGGTCGTAATTGAGCACGTCTGGCATCTGGGTATCAACCCGCGCGGGCCTCTTTCTTTCTAGCTGGATTGATGGCGTTTCGCATCGCGTCCTCCGACAGCGCCACGCCGTAAATGCATGTCTGGTCGTTCTTGTGCGTGGTTTGGCCCGGGTGTTCGAGCGCAGCGAGAGCCCGACACGCGGCGCAACTGAGGTCGAGCTCCCGGCACCGCTGCGCATCAGATTTGCAAGTGATCTTCCCGCCCAGGCGTGGACTACAGAGCCAGCCGAGAAATGGATACCTCTCTGCTGTGGATGCATGAGTCTTCGAAAGGAAATCCTGGTACTGGTCGGCGGCGCGCTCCAGAATCGCCGTTGTCAGGGCGAGCGCCAAGCTCAGCGTCGAGCGCTCGCTTCCAGTTTCGTCTCTCCGTGACGCGCCATACGATGTGGACATGCGGCGCAATCCGTCACCATGTTTGTTTTCGTGGCCGGGCATGTCGGGAGTCGTTGGGGTTGTCTGGCAGGGCAGCTTACTGAACGAGAGCTCCCGCTACGCTGGCACAAGGCTTGGAATTGCCGCAGGCAATCGAATGGCCTTTGCCCAAGGCCCGCCACTACCTTCAGGTAGTCGTCACGGAGGGGTCCAGCGCTGGCCCCATCACCGGACGTCAGCCAAGCCGCGACGTCGCTGCTGCTCGGCGCTGTCACGGCACCACCGCCCACGTCAAGCAGCACGGTTGCGGATTGTAGCAATCCGAGAACTAGGCCCCTGGTAGGCCAGTCGGGCGTGGTGCAAAAATCACCCCCCTCCTGTTCCTCCTCCTCTTCCTCCTCCTCCCCCTCCTCCTCCTCCTCCTCCCCCTCTCCCTCATCTTCATCCTCTTCCTCCTCCTTCTCCTCCTCCTCCTCCTCTTTCCACTCCCTCGCTCTCCTGTCCTGGCCATCCACTTGCTCACTGCTCCAACTTGAATCTCGTTTTCCCCGCTCGCTGCCTCCCTTTCCTGACGTTACCCTTGCGTCCTCCTGGCGCGTGCCTCCTCCCCCCCTCCTTGTGCGCAGCGGCGGGGGTTGCCGTAGGCGATTGGTTGCCGTAGGCGATTGCCGAATGCACCCTCGCAGCTGGAAGGGCCTGCGGCGGTGGGCGCGCCAGAATCTGCCACCGTGCCATTGCACGGAATGGGCGTATACTCGGGTCCCGAACCCAATCTGTCGCCCCAAGAGATCTCCAAGAGATTCCAAAA